GGGGGGTACAGAGGAAGAGGTGGGGAGGTAGGGAGGCTGAACTGAGGAGGCAGGAACCCAAGGCCACGTAGGGTTTGGAAAACCATGGTGAGAAATGAAATTTTTAAAAACCAGGACACTAGCTGAGGAGGGAGGGGCCTCCAGCAGTGCCCACTGCCTGCTCTCCTGAGCTGGGTGATATTCTCAGCCACCCTGGGCAGGGGCAAGGGACAAGGTTCCTAGGCCACCACAAACTCTGATTTGATGTCAGGGTTAACTTCTGGCTTCCAGACGGATTCCTCGAAGTCAAGGCCCAAGCCTGCAGCCTCACTGGGGCCGCCACCACTGCCTCCGGGGCTGCTGTCACTGCGACCAGCCTTGCGGCTGGGTGGCCAGTGGTAGGGGCCGCGGGCATCTCTCCGGGCCTTTCTGCGGAGCCGTTTCTGCTGGAGCAGCAGCTGCAGGCGCTCCACTTTGCAGCGGGTGGCACGGTTCTCTGTCTGCCGCAACCGGTCCCCTATAAAGGAAGCAGTGACTGTGACCCCCCCAGGAGAGGCTGGACCCCCAGCAAATCCCCTCCAGCATTAGGCATAGCCTAGGACTCCCTCCATTGAGGGGACTGGTTAAGAGTATTTACAGGATGAATCTCCAGTAGACCCCTGGAAGCTGCAGGTTTATTAAAACTTGCTCCAGTGTCCAGCACACCAGCTTTGAGACCTGTGAGGGCAGGGTCATGTACAAGTCAGGCACTCAGGACACAGTCACAGCATGAATTAACTGCAGCTTGAACCCTTGCAGCTGCTTCTGTGACCGAGAGGAACTCAGGCTCTGGCCTCGAATGATTTCCCCTTTGTGGCCTGGGCTGGGGGGCCCACTGGACAGAGTGGCATCACCAGTCTGCAAGACTCCAGACTTATAGGGTAAAAACAAGTTGGGAAAATATGGCGTCATAGAGAAGGAGGGGAAACTGGGCCCCCTCCTTAGCCTGACTTGGCCATTCACAGAGGCTCCACCTGCCATCTGGAGAAGGTTCCTGAGGAGGAAGTGAGGAGGAACCCCCCTTGGGAGGGCACAAGGACACTTTCTGCCCCCAACACACGGTCCCTTCTCTGCAGGCTCTCCAAGAGCAGGCTGAGTGGCAGCTGGTGCCTCCCCAGCCTGAGGTGGGTCAGCTGCTCTGAGCTGCACAAAGAGGGGCCTTGAGTGATAAGGATGGGAGAGGCACCCTAGATACTCACCCGTGGGCTTGCCCAGGCGGGCCTGGCTCAGGGAGGCCGGGGCCATGGCCACCAGCTTCTCACAGGAGGTAGTTTTGGGGGTGAGGTCTGCAGCAGACGAGGCAGGTGCACACTGGGCATGGCAGCGCAGTTGGGTCAGTGATGGGGGCATGCCCTGGTAGTGCCGTGTGGCACTCAGGAGGTCATTAAGGATCTGCAGGATGGTGCCGATGTCCCGCCGTGGCCGCCCACTGCTGTCCTGGCAGTTGGGGTGCAGCGTGCCTACAGGTGGCAGAGTGTATGGTGAGTGCCTAAGGGATGGGACCCTGGGGCAGGAATGACACAAAGACCCCCACCCACGCATGGGGGACACAAAACCTGCTGTAGGGTCATGAGTATATGTAGAGATCTGAGGGTGGGATGGTGAGAGTATGTCCCAACCCTGAGGTGTATGCATGTGACCACTAGTGGGACACACGTGGAAGCCATGACACCTACCAGAGAAGGTCCCTGAGAAGACCCCCGGGGCGTGGTTCACGAAGCTCTCGATAATGGCACCAGGTTTTCGGGAACGGGAGGTGGGGCTGCCCCCAGAGGTGGATGTGGGACTGGCCCGGGTACTGGCAGCAGGGGAACAGTCCATCTGCTGATGAGGGAGGGGGCACATGAGCTTAGGGTATAAGCAAAGACCTTGGGGTTCAGGGTCCAGGGATCACCCACCAGCCCAGGATCCAGCGATGGCCTTTGAAACAAGGGATCTGAGTCCCTGTGCACCCTCCTCCCCCATGTCCCAGAACAGCCCATCCTTGAGTTCACCGAATAAGCCCTTCCTGGACTCACCTCGGGACAGGTGGTAGGGGCTGAGTGGGAACGAAAGGAGCCGGCTGTGACAGGTGGGGGGGATGCAGGTGCAGGGCTGGTGGGCACTGGAGGGACACGGGCAGCACTGGACACTGGCCGGCAGGGAGAGGACACAGAGGTGGTCATGCTGGGGTCCCCGCGGGTGGCAGCAGCTGCAGCTGCTAGCACATGGCGGTGTTGTAGTGGGGCGTGCTGGGCTGCAAGTTGAAGCTGGACGAACATCATGTGGTCACCCACTCGAAGAGCCAGGGTCAGCGGTGAGCGGCCCGACAAGAAGTCACTGACCTGCAGAGAGTAGCCTGTCAGCCCCAGGGTCCCAGCCCTAGGCGCCCCCAGCCCGGCCCAGCCCGGCCCCCCATGCTGTGTGACCTGGGGCCTCTCGCCGCCCCTCTCTGGGCTCTGGGGTCCCTGTCGGTGCCACGGATGCTTAAATAAAATGAATCGGTATTTCCGGAAGCCGCCTCCGCCAGCCCGGCCCGGCCCGGGCGCCGCTGGGGGCTGTGGGGGACAGAGGCAGGTCAGACAGGGGGGCCTGGCCCTTCCTGGCCAGCTTGGTTCTTTCAAAGGGAAACTGAGGCCAGAGGGGGCAGGGCCTAGCCAGAGGTCACTGTCCTTAAATAACCCTCACCTTGTACCTTTCCCCACCCTCTCAAACCCCCAGATCCTCTCTGCCTATGATTATGGCAAAGGGACCTATTTCAGGCCCCCTCCCAGTTAAGCCAAAGGGGTGGGCAGCAAGTGGGTGGAATTGCTGGACAAATTCTTCATCCTAACCTTTGCTTTCTCAAGATAAATATTTATCTGTCCTGGGCGGGGCAGAGGCTGAGAGGGAGGCGTCACTGCAGGAAGGGGCCCTGACTGGTTCCCTGGAGCCAGGGTCCCCCAGGGCCTGAACACAACCCACGCAAACATGAACCCTCCAATCGGGGTCCCCTTTCAAAGAGGGTGTGGGGTGCCTCTGACCCTAGTCTGCACTGGGGACTGGCTAGCACAGAACTCTCCCCAGGGGCTGGGCTGGGGGTTGGGGGGGTGGAGAGGTTTCTGAGAAGTGACAGAGGCTGGATGACTCAGAACAACCGCCTCCCAGCTCTCCCCTGGCAGCGGCTGGTGTAACCTTCTCTGCTTGGGGGCCTTGGGGAGGAGGCGAGGGAGGCAGGCAGTTCGAAGCCCCCACCCCCAGCCCAGTCTGCAC